AACTTATGAACAAAAATAGATACAGAAGCAGAGCTGCCTCAAACAGACTGTCAAACTGCAAACAGAAGGCCAGGGAGGGTAGGGGGGCAGAATGGGGTGGGGTAAGAGATCAAAAAGAACTTACATGCATGCATATAACCAATGGTAAAAGTCATAGGAAATAATGTGAATGAGTCAGATACGTTTTCTGTTCTTAGTAAGAAAAAAGTAAAAACATATGTAATAACCTTTGTAATACTTTAAGCAATAAAACTAAAAAAAAAGAATTACAAATTGGGGATGTAAAGTCAAAAAAAAAATCCTAGAGAGAAGAATGCTGGAAAACCACACACACACACACACACACACACACACACACACACACACACACGGGTGGGGCTGGGGAAGGAAGGATGAAGGATTTTCAGTAAAGATTGTGGTGAGATATCTTAGTCCAGGTCAGGGAAAAAGCTGGTATTTGAATCCAAGTTAGTCTGCCTCCAGGTCCATGCTTTTTCTTAACTACTATCAGGTATTTTTTTCCCCTCATACCCTTATATTGGGGCTTCTTAGCAATCTCTACAAGTGCCTGATTTTGTGAATGACCTCAAGACTCCATCTTTCTTCATGTTTTCAGGGGGAGATAGGAGCTGAGACAATGAGCTACACAGAAGAGAGAAATAATACATGTGAAATCCAGGCAGTAAAAGCACTCTGGAGCATTCAGGATGTCTAATGAGAGGCAGAAAGTAAGAACTGACCAAATCATGTAAGGCTTAATCAGCCCAGTTTAGGAGTTACAACTTTATCCCAAGGGTAATGAGAAGCCATTGAAGAGAAAGATCACCAATGTTCCATTCTGAAGCATGGACTGATGAAGGACAAGACAGAGCAAAGTCCACTTCGTGAAGAGGTGGTGGATATGAAGAAAGATGAATCTGAGATTTAGGAGACAGAATTACAGGACTTGAGAATTGATTGGTTATAGAGAAGAAAAGAGTCAAGGATTCCCAGTGGACAGTGCTACCATATTTATGGGTCATAATTGATTGGGGTGGGAAAGATTCTGGTGTCATAATGAGTGTGAGGGCCTTGACCCAGCAGAGGGGAGATGGCCCACAAATGGTTTGGAGTGTGGACTAAAGATCAAAAGGGACATGTGAGCTGCAGGTAATGAATAAGAAGTCAACTCCTAGAGCGGCCATGGGTGGATGCCAAGGGCATGTTTAGTTTAATCCTTGGAGAGAATGTAGAGTGACAAGAGCAGACAACACTTAAGGAATGTGTGAAGGAACAAGAGTCAGCAAAGGTGAAAGGAAAGTAGAAGAGTTTGGGGGAATCTTGTTTCAAAATAAGGGTGTGATGGACAATGCCCACTACTACCTAAAGCTCAGGTAACATAAGAAAAAGAAGTGTCTCTTGGTTGTAGCAACCCAGAGGCAAGTATTGACAGGCAAGGGCACCTTCAACACAGAGGCAGAGAGAGAATTCAACTCCCCATAGGTGGTACATTGTCCAAGAGGTGAGGAAGACATTACAGATAACCAACATATTCAGGAAGATGGCTGAGAAGGTGAAGAGAAGGAATGGTAGATGGAGGGATACGGAAGATAAAAAGAATTTTTGCTTTATCTTCAAGGCCACCAGGGGAATATCTGGCCAACTCTGGGGAAGTCCGACTCTGGCCAAAAGCAGGATATGGGAGTTTATGGTTCACATGTGGAAAATTCCTTCACAGGCCAATACTTTCATTTTCTCTTGCAACCTGCTCTGAGCATTTAGGAAACCCTGCTGACCCCAGGAGCTTTTAGGCTACTTGGTAAAGAGAATTTTAGAGCATTTGACACTATCCTTGGGTCTGGATGCTGTGTCAGGACTGTGAGAAGGAGGAGAGATGAAAGCAGAATGTTTTATTGGATTGGATTCACGGCAGATGACACAGCTTTTGGAGCCACCAGAAACCAAAGCCAAGAGAGGGATTTGAATAACCTGCTTCACGCTGAGGCCCTGGGTCTGGCTCCCTGGAAGAAAAGCCAAGGTGTCTGTCTCTCCTGTCTATCTCTTGATCTAAATCCTCTGGCAAGAGGACATGGACTTGTCTGAAAGTCCTGCTTCTCACAGAAGAACAGAGTCGGGGACGCAAAGTCACCCAATATTCACCTGCTTCCTTCTATTGGGTCAAACCATATGAAATTGCCATTTCTATAAGTCCTGTAATGTTTCATATGATTCAACTTAACATTCATATAAACAAGCCATCGTGCCTGCCTCTCAGAAGGCAGGGTGCCCAGTGTGACAGAGGGGTCACCTGAGGCTCCAGAGCTGAGAAGGCTGGCACAATTCTGGGAATCCAAGGGCTTAAGCCACTTGAGTTTGGGAAGGGAAGGAGAGCCCACAGAAGCACTGGCTGAGTGTGGATTTGGATTCAAGCCGGGATTGCCATCCCGGCTCCGGCAGGACAAGTTACTTAGCCTTTCCCGCTCAGCTTCGTCCTTTGAAAAACAGAGAAAGTAATCCCACCTCCAGGCCTGTTGAGAGGAAAATAACTAACTGCTTGTCATCTGAGAGGTCCTCTGCCAAACTCTGCATCTAAAAGACCTGGCACGGCGCCTGACACAAACGCAGTCCTCAACCCTGGCTGCTCATTGTCATCATTGTTTATTATTTTTATTATTAGCATCATTATCATCATCATCATCATCATCATCATCATCATCATCATCATCATTATTCCAACTAATAAGGGGAGTATCTTTTCCTCTTTTATTCTTCCACCAAGTCTTATACATTTCTTTGTTTACATTTAGTACATTCTGTTGGGATTTTTTGACTGTATCTGTCCCCATTACTAAACTGTAAGTTCTTTGAGGGCTGGTACCATGTTTTATCTCTTTAAGACATGGGCAGGTTCGGGGGAAGGGGATAGGCAGGTGTGTGAAAGAGGCTGGGTGGCGGGGGGAT